GAAGTAAAATCCTGGGAGAGGCCAAAACCGGTGTGGCTCAGTGGATAGAGCATCGACCTGCGGGCTGAAAGGTCCCAGGTTCGATTCTGGTCAAGGGCATGCACATTGGTTGCGGGCACATCCCCAGCTGGTCGATGTTTCTCTCTCATTGATGTTTCTAGCTTTCTATCCCTCTCCCTTCCTCTCTGTAAAAAAAATCAATAAAATATATTGAAAAGAAAAACCTGGGATAGAATTCAGGCTACTTGCTTAATCTTACCTAAGAGCCTCAGGTAAAGACACCTGTCAGGTAGAGGTAGACAGGCTTTTCCTGTGAAAGGAAACTTGGTAGGTTTTGCCGGCCACACCGTCTCCATCTCATCTACTCAACTCGGGCTCTAGCATCCATGATGATAGGCAAACACAATGCCTGTCTTTGTTCCAATAAAACTTTATTTACAACAAGAGGACCGGCTTTGGCCTGTGGGCACTGGTCTGGGCGACCCTAACCCTCCTCAGAACGGTGACAGCTGTTCAGACAGAGTCTGTTCCACCCGACGGGCACTCCACTATGAGGTGCCCTCTGGAAGGGGAGAGGGTGACCCCGTGTCAGCCAGGTGGCGTGCTGTGCCGGGCACAGGACATCGGGGGCATTTTCCTGCCCCAAGGTCCTGAGCCTCTCGCAGGCAAAGACGAGCTCACCGTTCTCAGTCAGCTCCCGTTGGCTCCCCGTGCGGGGCGTTAGGACGTGTTGTACCTCAGCACGGGCACAGGTTAGGGTCCCCAGGGGCAGGAATCACAGCGTGCACCCTCTAGTGGCCACCGAGTCCGTGTCCGCCCCCACGGGCTGCAGGCGTCACCAGGGCAGAGTGTTCTGTCCACTGTCATTTCCCCGGAACCTGCCCGGCACGTGGAGGGCTCTTCACAGCGTGTGCTGAGTGAGCGGAGGGATTAGCGCTAGAAGGACGAGGAGCCGGGGCAACGAGGGGGCTCTGAGGTCACGCACCGCTTTCCCGGAGTGGCACCCGTCGTTTCTTCTTTTTAATGTATTTTATTGATTTTTTTTTTTACAGAGAGGAAGGGAGAGGTATAGAGAGTTAGAAACATCGATGAGAAACATCAGTCACCTGCCTCCTGCACACCCCCTCCTGGGGAGGTGCCCGCAACCAAGGTACATGCCCTTGACTGGAATCGAACCTGGGACCTTCCAGTCTGCAGGCCAACGCTCTATCCACTGAGCCACACTGGTTAGGGTCCCCGTCGCTTGTTGACAGCGCTGCCTGTGCTGTCCCAAGGCTGGTGAGCTCAGCCTGTGGGCCGCAGTGAGTCCGGGTGGGAACAGGCGGCGGACCAGGGGAGGGAGCAGGGCTGGGGGAACGCGGCCTGGCCTCGAGGAGCCCCCGGGACTCATCCCGCCAGGCAGGCCTGCCCGCCTCGCCTCTGCCCGGCCTCCACCTCCTCGCTCCCTGGCACCGGGCACAGCCTGCTGCCCTGCCCCGGAGACTTCAGCCCGATTCATAAATTCCTTCCTCGTCGGGCACAGGAACGAGGAGACGCTATTAATAATGCAGGGGCTGTTTAATGCCCTGCTAGGAGCCGGCCTGAGAACAGTCCTTGGTGACACTGCCACCCTGCCACCGCGCTGGGCTCTGTGCCCAGGACGCCGGGAGATAAATAAATCAGAGCGTGAGTGTCCGGAGCCGGGCCCCGGCGGGGGTCACAGAGGCAGGAGCCGGAGCCACCTCAGCAGGGAGGCCCGGGTTCCAGCTGGGGGAGCAGAGGAGCTCGGGGTGCCAGCTGCCTGTGCCCCCTTCCTTCCCCACTAGCCCAGCGGACCTTTCCAGCTGAGCCCTAGTACCACCTCCTTCTCCCTCAGGCTTGGGTGCTCAGGGTGATGGTGCTCAGGGTGACGGGTGCTCGGGGTGATGGTGCTCAGGGTGACTGGGTGCTCAGGGTGATGGGTGCTTGGGGTGATGGTGCTCAGGGTGACTGGGTGCTCAGGGTGACGGGTGCTCGGGGTGACGGGTGCTCAGGGTGATGGTGCTCAGGGTGACGGGTGCTCGGGGTGATGGTGCTCAGGGTGACGGGTGCTCAGCGAGGGCTGAGGTGTCTGCGGGAGCTCTCTGGCCGGCCTGTCCATCTCGCACCTGCCCAAGCAGGAGGCTCTGACGCTTTCCTGCTCACCGCGGGGGGACTGAGATGAGATGGTTTCAGAGGGTCAGAATCTGGGCTTTAACTGCAGGTCCTGATTCAGAGCCGGTGTGGGCAGCGCCGTGCTGAGCTGGGAGGCACCCCAGGGCGGAGGGGGTGACCGTGATAACTGGGGGAACCTGTGCAGGCCTGGGAGAGGGGGCGGGGCGGCGAGAAAGGGCAGGTGGAGGGGGGCAGAGAGCGCAGCCATTGGGCTTGGCCTCTGGGAGCCGGAGCTGGGCTTGCCCGCCGGCTGGGGCCTGAGCCTGAGAGGAGGGGGCGGGGAGGACCTCGCTCACTGATGGGCTTTCTGACCAGGTGGCTGTGAGGGATGCTCACACCCGCCCGGGTAGGGGCTGAGGGAAGCGGAGGGCAGGGGGTGTCTGGGGCCAGTGGTACTGCGGGGCAAGGGCCCTGGGCGACTCTGCCTGTGAAGCCAACACGGTGCCCGCTGGCTGGCCTTGCAGTCCGGCCCTCTGGATCCCAGGACAGTCGTGGGGCACACTCAGGGCTGCCTCTGGCAGAGCCCCTCGCCGGAGACGGGCCAAGGCCCTCGCACTTTCACAGCCCGCAGCCCCTCAGCCCCCGCAGCCCCTCAGCCCCTCAGCCCCTCAGCCCCTCAGCCCCCGCAGCCCCTCAGCCCCTCAGCCCCTCAGCCCCTCAGCCCGCAGCCCCTGCAGCCCCTCAGCCCCGCTGACAGGCCGGGGCGGGGGGGCTCAGCCCCTCAGCCCGCTGACAGGCCGGGGGGGGGGGGCTCAGCCCCTCAGCCCGCTGACAGGCCGGGGGGCGGGTGGCTCAGACCCCGCAGCCCCTCAGCCCCTCAGCCCCTCAGCCCCTGCAGCCCCTCAGCCCTGCTGACAGGCCGGGGGGGGGGGGGGGGTGGCGCTCAGCCCCGCAGCCTCTCAGCCCCTCAGCCCCTCAGCCCCTGCAGCCCCTCAGCCCCTCAGCCCCGCTGACAGGCCGGGGGGGCTCCTGCGCCACGTCCCGGGGGACCGTGGGCAAGAGGCAGGTGGCCCCCAGAGCAGGCCACGCACACCCTGCCTCCCCGGTGCACTGCTCCCCAGAGCCCTGGCTGAAGGCCAGGGACCCCCCCCCCCCTTAGACGGCCGTGTCCAACCTGCTTCCCTCCTGCAGGGTGGAGAGGGAGTGCCCCTTGCTTTAGGAAAAGGCAGGCACCTCTCCCCGCACCCCACACCCCACCCCACACCCCCAGAGCGCTGCCCCCTCTTTCTGCCCAGGCGGGCAGGGAATCCGTGCTTCAGCCACCGCTGCTGGGCAGCAGGGATTCCTCCTGCGGGCGGGCACCCTGGCCTGGGGAGGCGTCAGGAAGACGTACGAAGGAGGGGGTGGGGGTCTCGGTGCTGCACCCAGACTCCCGTGGGCAGAGCAGGGGTGCAGCCCGCCCCCACGCTGAGGTGGGGCTGCCCAGTTTTCGCCTAAAGGGGACCTCTGTCTCCCTGGAGGGGCCGCGTCTGCTCCGTGCCTGTGGCTTTAACGCCGCGCCCACACCGGGCACCTCGGGGAGCCCCCACGGAGCCGGCCCCGGGGAGGGAGAGGCCCTGGCACCGGCTTCCTCCAGGGTGCCCGGTGCCGCGAATGGACAGCAGGGCCTCAGTGGGCCCTTGTGCTGGGAGACAATGGGTGCTGTGTGGGGGCGGGGCGGGAGGGAGGAGGCTGTGGGCCCTCCCCCAACACTGCCACCACCTCCTCCTCCTCCTGGACTGGGCTGGGGGCCCCCGAGGCAGTCACAGGGGCGCCCAGCCCCTGGGGGAGCCTCCGAGAACCCTTGTGCTTGTACCTGGAGGCAGTACAGGGGGCAGGGCGGAGGGATGGGGGCCCAGGTCCCCCCTCCTCCGAGCCCCAGAGTCCTCCTTTGTCCGCGGGGCCTGGGAAACCGCCTCCGCACCCAGGGCTCCAGCGGAGCGCCCGGCCCCGCAGGGTCTCAGGCGGCCCCGCTGGGAAGTGCTCCCCACACTCCAGCGCCCTGTCAGCGCCACGTGCCCTGGGGCCCGAGTGGGCAAGTGGCCGAGGGAAGGGGGGACAGGTTCACCTCGTGGGCTGAGTGGTGACCAGGGGGCCCTGCAGCCCCCGGTGTCAGATGCTTTGTCAGTGATCAGCGCCCCGTGCACGCTGAGACCACGTGGACCAAATCCTAGCAGGGGGAGAGCTTGCCCCTCTCAAGAAACAAGCTTCAGGGCTGATGTGGATGCTCCAGCTGGTGTGGCTCAGTGGCTGAGCATCAACCTGTGAACCAGGAGGTCACGGTTGGATTCCCGGTCAGGGCACATGCCCAGGTTGCAGGCTCGATCCCCAGTGGGGGGCATGCAGGAGGCAGCTGATCAACGATTCTCTCTCACCATTGAGGTTTCTATCTCTCTCTCCCTTCCTCTCTGAAATCAATAAAAATGTATCTAAAGGAAAGAACGGATGTTGATGACCCTCCCTTTCTCTCCTTCCTCCCAGGGTCCCCCGTGCGCCCTGCCTCCCGCCCCCCCCCCCCTCGGAGGAAGCGGATTTAATGCCTCCACTGAGAGCAGGAGATGTTCTGTTATTTTTCATGGGAAATTAGACCTGACCCTGCTGTCAGTTAGCTCATGCAGGGAGGATGGATGGCCCGGGGCGTGCTGCTTAACCCCTGCTGGGATAAGGCCGCCTGGCTGGGGGCCAGCGGTGATGTCACCTGCTCCGGAGTGGGGGTGGGGCTGGGGGCAGGACAGGCCCGAGAGCCTCCTCTGGGTGATGGATGGCAGCGAGGCCCCCCGGGGTGTCGCCGTGATGGCGGCCAGGCCCTGCTCATCCGGGGAGATTCAGGCTGCCCCCGTCTCTTTCAGCTCCCAGCTCCACCGCTTGCCCGGCCGAGGAGAGCTGGTGGTCCGGGCTGGTGATCGTCATCGCCGTGGGCTGTGCCTCCCTGCTGTTCCTCACTGTGCTGGTGGTCATTTGTTACAAAGCCTTCAAGCGGTGAGTGTCCGCCGGCTCGGGCCTGAGGGCGCCCCAGCGGGAGTTTGCTGGGGGCTGGGCCCAGGGGACCCAGCCTCACGAGGGGCAGGCCATGTCCGGGCATCTGCCTCCCAGCCAGACCCCCCTTCTGTCCCCAACGCTCATGCTTCAAGGCACTTCCCCCCCCAAATCAATAAATAGATAAAATAACAAGGTTGTAACCTCAGCCAAGCACTGGCTCATCTTCACCAACAGTCTCTCGGGCCACCTCACTGCGTCTTTCCCCTGCCCGTCCATTTTACAGAGGAGGAGACTGAGGCCCAGAGGTGTGAAGGGAACTGCCCAGGGTGGTACAACCCGGGAGCCGAGGAGTCAGGCTTTGCTCCCAGCACCACGTGATTCCCAAGGCAGCCCTGCCCGCAGCTCCGTGTCAGTGTTACTGTTGAGTTCCACTCTGGTGTTGGGCTGAGAACAGACCTCGCTCTCCCTGTCTGTCCTTCCTCCAGGGGGCCCGGAGAAGGGGTGTGGTCTGTGCCTTCTGAAGCCAGAAAACTGGTGGACAGAAAGGCCCCGAGACCCTGTAATTCAGGGCCAGGCCAGGCCTCAGAAATCAAGGTAGAAGTGTTGGAGTCTCCCAGGGACGAGGTCAGCCCGATTCCCAGTGTCTGTGGGCGCCTACTGTATGCACAGGCCGTGTAGATACAGAGACAGAGAAGACAGGGCTGGGCCCACGGGCGGATGCAGGAATGTTTGTTAGGAGGCGGGTGGGATGGATGGTCCCTGCAGCCTGTTGTGGGCCGAGGGAGGCGGTTAACTCTGATCAGGATGATAGCACATCTGGGCTGAGAGCCCACCACCCTGGGCTGAGGACTGCCAGCAGCAGACAGGGGAGGTGCTCCGGACAGAGATACCGTGTGAGCAGAAGCACCGGGCACCAGGAAGCCCCTGGGACACGGGATGGGTGGCGCTGGTCCCACCAGGCTGGGCACCTTGCCCGGGACTTGGTGGGCGCTGGGAGCTATCGAAGGGTCTTGAGGAATTGTGTGCAAGATCCCCCCGGGGCACTGCCAGGGGTGGGGCCCTCACTCCATCAGAGACCCGTTCCCAGGCTCCTGGCCCTCGGAGACAGACAGCAGCACCTTATTAAAAAGCCCAGCTCTTCCAGACGTCACAGTCACGGGCTCGCTGTCATCCCCAAACGTCTGAGGAGACGTGCTGCTTCCAGGGGAGAAGGTGAGGCGGACAAACCCACATTAACATCTGACTGGCAGTGCCAGGCAGCGGCAGCATGCAGGCTGTGCTTCAGCAGGGCTGGATCTCCCAGGAAGGCCTGTGGGGGCGCCACCCCTCCCCCCAGAACAGCTAGAGAGGCCTCCTGTCACTCTGTCTTACTCTGCGGGCTCTGAGCTCTTGGTTCCAGGGTCTGTTAGCGGCTTGGAAAGACAAGGAGCCCACCCAGAGGATCCCTTCCAGGGGCTTCCACCAGATGAGGTGGGCGGGGCTTCCTCCAGACTGTGGGCGGGGCTTCCTCTAGATGAGGTGGGCGGGGCTCAAAGATCCTTGGAGCCAAGGAAGCTGGTGAAGCATCCAGACCAGCAGCAGTGGGTTAGCACAGCCAGGATCAGGGCCAGGGAAGGTGCCAGGGGAACAACTGAGCGGGATTGGAGCTGCCAGAGTTGCAGCCCCAAAACAGGAAAGGAGGGGGAGGAAATGCCTCGACCTCTCTCCCGCGCTCTGGTCTCCTGAGGGTGACCCCCACTGGCAAACAAAAGAAACGGGGGGATCCCGGGAGACGCAGTCCTCAGCATCCCAGAGCTCCCCGCTCCCAGGCCTTGCCTCCGCTGACCACCCATGGCACGGGCCTCACCTCCTGCCATCGATCGCCATGAAGCCACCTGACAGCCATTTCCTCCTGATTTACAAGGCGTTGGCCGCAGGACACTTGGCTGGTCCCGCAGACGTTAACGGCAGGCCGTCAGCACACGGGCTGCGCCCCGGGAGTTAGCGCGCGGCGCGCTGCCTGCACATGGCTGGGCTCCGGCGCTCCTCGGCTCCTCGTGGGTGAGCCACTGCCGTGCTTTGGAATGCCCACGTCTCTCTGATGATACCCGGTGCCATGGACAGCCCCGGGCTTCTCCGTGAGCCATTGCTGGTATTAATGGAGCACCTACTGTGTGCGGGGGACTAGACGAGGTGTCAGGGTGAAGAGATAAATGAGACTGAGCCGCTGCCCATCCCCACCACCCCCCAGCGGAGAAAGCAGATCACACACACACACACACACACACACCAGCACGATAATAAATGAGGCTCTAAAAACCCATGGATTCTACAAAGAGAGGGGGAAATCTCAGAGCAATGGGGGGAGAGCAAACGGGGTGGAAATGGGGTTGCTTGGCCCGCCCACAGTCAGGGGTGCTCTTGAGGGGGCTTTCTGGTTGGAGAGAGAGGTGAGGGCTTGTACGTCCACTCCCCCTGCTAATCTAACAGCCAGCGGGGCCCTTCCGTGGGGGTGGGAGACAGGAGCAAGCCAGCTGGCCGCCTGCCCTCTCAGGCTCCTCAGAGCTGCTCTTTGCCTCCAGCCTCCCCAGCAGAGCAGCAGACGGAGGGTGGGGAAGTCAGCGGGGCCAAAGAGGGGCGCCCGGGTCCTGCCCCGTTTTGCCCCTCCCCTCTCCCCCATGCTGGTGGAGGCAGCGTCTGCAGAGGCCCAGATGCCGGCAGTTGGCGGCGGAGCCGTCACCTCAGCCCTCCATGCCGAGGACGCGGGGTGCTGCTGCTTCCAGGCCGGGGCGCAGGAAAGTGGGGGGCCCGCCCTTTGACGTCACGAGGCCGAGGAGAAGCTCACCGCCCTCTCTCTCGGTTTTAGGAGCCAGGCCGGGTAGGCGGCCTGCACCCGGCCGAGGTGCCCTCCTCTGGTTGTTGGGAGCGGCCTTGGCTGGCACCGGGCGCCGCGGAGCCAGGTCTAGCCTATGGAGCCCGGCGGGGCGCACGTTAGGTAGGAAGGCTGTGCAGGCAGGACCGCGGGAGCCGCCCTGAGAGCTAACACACTTACGGAGACCTACTGTGTGCCAGCGGCTCCTCCCGGAGCATAACCACATTAACGTGTTCATCCTCCCAGCGAGCCTACGAAGCAGGCACCATCCCAGTGCCCGTTTCATAGACCAGGAAACTGAGGCCTAAAGAGGTTCAGTGACTTGCCCATGGAAGGACACATGGGGGGGGGGGGGTGTCGAGGCAGAGCCTCCTCCTGCTGCAGGAACAACTCCAGCATCCACGGGGCTCCAGGGAGGCCCAGAAAGCCTCCGGGAGGGGCCGGGCAGAGCGGGGAGCAGAGTGGCTGCGGCTGAGGAGGGAGCAGACCCAGCCCGCTTCTCCGAGGGCCCCGGGCAGCCGCTCTCTCCTTCGTATGCTCAGCTCCTGGATGCCCCTGGGGGTGGGGTGGGGAGCAGAGGGGGGCTGCACCAGCCAGAGGTGCCCTTTTTTCTGTTCAACTAGAGCAGTGGTCGGCAAACTCATGAGTCCACAGAGCCAAATATCAACAGGACAACGATTGAAATTTCTTTGGAGAGCCAAATCTTTTAAACTCAAACTTCTTCTAACACCACTTCCTCAAAATAGACTCTCGCAGGCCATGGTGTTTTGTGGAAGAGTCACACTCAAGGGGCCAAAGAGCCACATGTGGCTCTCGAGCCGCAGTTTGCCGACCACGGTGCTAGGGTAAAGCAAAACGAGACGGGCTTCCTGGAGGCCTCGGAGAATTCTGGAACCTCCAGGAGGAGGGGAGGAGGCCTTCCCACGCGATTGGACGCAGAGCCTGGGGGCAGGGTGTGTGTGTGTGTGTGTGTGTGTGTGTGTGTGTGTGTGGAATACCTGCTGGGAATGCCGGCTGAATAGAAACAGAAACGCAGCTGGACCAGGATTTGGTGGGAGTGGGTAGTGGTCCAGGGCCACCATAAACCAGCCTCGGGACCTTGGGCAAGTCACAGCTCTCCCTAAGCCTCAGTTTCCCCATGAACTGAAACCTAACCCCAGGCCTTGCTTCTCCCGGGCTCATTGTGGAAGGGACCAGGAGAGCTGAGAGCGCTCTGAATAAAACGGGACCCCGTCGGGGGAGGTGTCAGCTAGCACCTCCTTTTTCGAGGAGACCACGGTAGCCGGGCCCGGGGCCCAGCCTGTGTGCACTCATGTTTCCTGTGTGTTTAGGGAGCTGGTTCTGCTGCAGAAAAGAAAGCTGGCAGACTTGACCTTGGGGAGCTCTCTGAACTGGCCTACTAACCCCGCCCCACGATAGCCACCTGCCAGGCCCTCTCCCAGACAAGCCTGGTCCCCAAGTGAGCGCCCCGGCCTCCTCAGGCGAGGTGTGGGGAGGCTTGGGGACGGTGGAGAAGGTGGAGAAGATGGAGAAGGAGGAGAAGGTGAAGCTGGCACGCCCCGGCTCTCCGCGATGCCCGCAAACATTCGCTGCAGACAGCTCACAACGGAGGCCCGTTCAGGCATGGCCCGGCGTTACCGGGGACACAGGTGTCTGAGCCACAGCCCCACGGGCCTCCCATCCGCCCAAGAGGCAGCGCTGTGGCATGGGATGGGGCTGCCCCACAGGGAGGGCCTAGGTCAGGAGCTGTAGCCATCCGGGCGGGGACTGGGGCCAGCCGCTCCTGCGCCGCTCGCTCGAGAGGAGAGGAGCCTTGAACCAGAAGGTGCTACTCTGAGTCCAGAACCTCAGCCCAGAGCCTTCTCAGTCCCCCACCCCTCCCCACGCCTCCACCCCCAGCCCCCTGCCCAAGCCCAGCAGCCCGAGGGCACTAACCCAGCACAGCCTGGCGGCCTAACCGTGGGGCATGCTCACGCCCAGGCATTGACAACTAACCATGTCTCCCCTCCTCCGCCCTTGCTTCCCCTGCCCCTCCGCCCGCGCCCAGGAAACCCCTGAGGAAGGAGGAGAACGGCACCAGCGTGGCAGAGTACCCCATGACGCCCTCGCAGAGCAGCAAGGCCGTGGACGCGAACAACGCCGTGGTGTGAGTGGCCGGACCCGCGGGCCCGAGGGCGCCTCGCCTCGGTGGCCCTGGTGGACGTGAGCCGACCCCGCGCGTGTCCGGGACCGACTGCATTGCCTTGCCCGCCTCGAGCCTCTCAGAGGGGAAAGCATCCTCTTCCAGCCATGCCCCTGGGCCCCCCAGGCTCCCCGCACCCTCCTCTTGTGTTCCAGCCGCTGTCTCCCAGCTCCCGTTGAACGCACGCGCTCTGTCGAAGGCAGAGGGTCTGTCTGTCTGTCCGCTGCGTCGGGGGAGGCGTCCCCCTTTAGCCCAAAGAAAGGCAATCCAGGGGCCATGTCCCCGCCAGGAAACCCCGCCTCGCCCTCCCGGAAGCCCGCCCGCTGCTCCGGTGACTGTGCCCTTCCCCACAGAAGCCATCGGCACAGCCGGGAGCCGTCCCCTCTCTAAGGTGCTTCCCACACACCTGTCTGCCGCCCCCCCTGCCGTCGTCTTCAGTCTGTAGGGCCTGCCTTCCCTCCGGTCTCCGCCCGCACCCTGGGCGCCGGGTCCTGCCTGACTGCCCGGTCCCTGCCACGGAGGGCGGCGCCCGGCCTGCAGAGTCCCCTCCCTGGGAACGGATGCACCCCTGGGGGCCAGGCCCTGCCTCCCCATGGCAGGGGCCGCCTCCGTGCCAAACCCACCGCAGGTGTCCGGGCTGGGCCGAGCGGCCTGGCTCCGGGTCTCCCCGATGCTTCCTCCCTGCAGCCCCTACCGGCCGGGGACTCGGACCCTCTCCTGAGAGCCCGGGCCTCCCCGCACCCAGGAGAGGGCGTGCCTGCAGGGGCTCCCCTGAGTGTCCCTTTCCGAGGCCTCAGGCTCTGAAAGTGCCGCGCCCTCCGCAGCGGTCGGGGGCTGAAGGGGAGGAAAAAGGGTGACAGGTGAGGGACCCTGCAGGCCTGTTGCCCAGGAGGCCACCCAGCCCTGCGGGCCCATCACGAGGCCTGGAGACAGTGGCCCTGAGGGTGTGCATCCCCTGGTGGGTCCGGAGGGCGCCCCTGACCCTGGTCCCACACCCTGGCTAGGGAGAAACCAGACGCAGTAAATGGCCCCGCGGTCTGGACTCAGGTGGACCCAGGTGGACTCAGTCTGCCTCCCAACCCACCCGTGGCTCCGCGGAGGGTTTGGGGCTGCGGGCGAGACCTTCACATGGAGGTGAGACGGACAGACTGGGGTGAACCCGGACACCCCATTGTCTGGAGCCCTGTGCCCATTGAGTTGTCTGTTCCGCTCGCTGTCTTTCGGAGAGCAGAGGGCAGGGGTGAGTGTGCTCTGTCCCTGACCCTGACCCTGACCCTGTCCCTGACCCTGACCCTGACCCTGACCGTCCTGCTCCAGGCCGGCGGGGACGGGCTGAGGACAGGCCAGGGATACCCTCCAGAAAGGGTGGTTTCTTCCCCGTGTCCCCTCTGTGTGAGGACTGGTTCGGGGTTTGAGTTGGTTCTGCTTTCCCTGCACACCCCAGCGTGGCACGGTGCCACCGCGGCCTCCCTTCTAGCCCCCGGCCCGGTGAGCACTTCCCGGTTCTCCTGCTCGGTGCCATCACTTCCCCGGGGACACACCCCTGGGTGACAGACCCCACGCCAGCGCACTCCCCCCGCCACCGGCCCCGCCTGAGTCCCCTGCCTGGTCCCTGAGCAGCGGGTGCCTCCCTGAGCTCAGAAGTGATGGAGGGGCACCTTTGGCCAGAGCGGGGATCCTGGCTAAGGGGTCATGGAGAAGATCCAGGGGGGCAGGCAGATGCACTGACCCCAGCTTCCCTGACCTTGACTTACACCTAAGAAGCCAGATCTTGCGATCAGCCTCACCCGCTGACCCCCTGCGAACCATCCCCGGGCTCTGGGGCCCGGGTCTCCTTCCCTGGGACACAGCCGGAGCTCTGAGAAGCTAACCTTGGAGAGTGAACTCCCCCGAGTTGGGTTTGTACCGCCTCTTCCCTGGGGTGTGCAGGGAAACCAAGAGAAGAGCTTTTTTTAAAAAAGGATTTTTTTCTGAAATCCCCCAACCCAAGAGCCAGTCATTCCGGGTGCAGCGAGAGAGCCCCGCCAGACGTTAGCGTAGGCGACGGAAGCGCCCGCCACACCAGCCTGGCATCGAGCTCGGAGCTTTTACGTAGGGCGCGTGCCTGCGGGCCCCAAACAGACCGGTCCCCAGCCTCCTGCAGACGTGGAGGCCGAGCAGGAGATGCCTTCCTCTCCGCGTTTTCCCCAGCAGACCGTCCTCAGCCACCCGCGGGGGGCCCAGCTTCAGACCCGCACGGAGGGCCTCCCCGAGCCCTCGGGCGGTGACAGGAGCTTCTAGGTCAGGGGTGGGGGCCCTGCTTCCCGCCCAGGCCCGTATGGAAATGACACCATCCTTCACAGGCCATCCCACAGGACCACCCTGCGCACGAGCCTGCTCTGTGTGGCCAGACATCCAGTTCTCTCACCCCTGATGCCTAGGCAGGGCCACGCCGGACGGTTTTGCGGGCTTTCCTAGCTCGTGGGCGAGACGTTCCCCACCCCTGCTCCAAAGCGAGTTTTGGAAGAAAGCTGTAAAAAATATTAACATATATAGTTCTATATATTTAAAGAGATACCCATATATAAGCAGCATTACTGTGCTCCATGACCCCATGCGGAGTGTGGCTCGCGTGGTTCCCAATGCATGAGTGTACATACTTGCCACCGGCCCTCCTCCCGGTGCCGCAGGGGCGCAGGGCAGCCGGCTCCTGGCCACGGGCCGTCTCTGCGGGCGTGCGGGTGCCCGTCTGTCCACCGGGGATCCCGTGATGTCGACTCGGTGGGGAGACTTCGCACTCGAAGCAGGACGGGCAGCGTTCGGGGGGGGGGGGGGGGGGCGGGCTGTTTGTTCATTGCGGGGAGGAAAGCATCATGGCTTTTTTATTTTCAATAAAAACGTACTTGTAAAGATGGCTGACGTGGTGGGGTGTGGTGGGGACGGGAGGAGTGAACAGGCTGAGTGGGTTTGTGTTGGGGGGGACCCTCCCGAGGGCCGGGCTGGATACGCGGCTGGATACACTGGTATGTGGTTTCTATCGGATACCCCAAAGCCGGCATTGATGGGGATCCTCAGGCTCCAGTCCTGTCCTTCATCCCCTCCCCTGGCCGCCTCGATCCGTGACACAACTGAGAAGAAAGCGGGTGACCCACCTTGCCGTGTGCCTGGGACTGGGAGGGTTTCCCACAATGTGGGACTTCCGCCCAGACTGGTTTGGCTCAGTGGATAGGGCGCCAGCTTGCGGTCTGAAAGGTCACGGGTTCGATTCCGGTCAAGGGCATGTACCTTCATTGCGGGCACGTCCCCAGTAGGGGGTGTGCAGGAGGCAACTGATCGACGTTTCTCTCTCATTGATGTTTCTAACTCTATCCCTCTCCCTTCCTCTCTGTGAATAATCAATAAAATATATATCTATTTTTAAAGTGGGACTTCCAGGGCTAAAACGGGGAAGGTGCCAGGCAGGCAGGACACACCAGTCACCTTAATGGAAATCCTGAGGGACAGCCACCAGCCGGCCATGCCGAGAGGAGATGGGCGAGGCCTGTGCCCGGCTCTGCCCGCCCTGGCATACGCAGGCGCGCCATGGGTGGCAGCCGTCACTGATGTCACTGTCACTGCTGTCATTAGTGAAGGCTGCCTGCCACCCCGCTCTGAGCGCTCCCTGCCCACCAGCCGCCCACATGGTCCCCCCGGGGAGGTTGGGGAGGCCTCGGCGGGACACCCCTCGTCTCGCACTCACTCCGGTGCACCCCGCCTGGCCGGACTCCCAGCGCAAACGCCAAGGCCGGCCGGGCACCAGGAGGGGTGGGCTGCCTTGTGTGCGAGGCTCTGCCCGGCTGCAGGCGCCTGAGGCAGGCATGGGGCAGCTGTCAGCGCGGAGCAGGCGGGACCCTCTCGCCACGTCCCTCTCCACCTTGAATCTGGGGCTTTCGGCCACTTGTCCCAGCTCTGGCGCCAGCACAGCCGACGACGACAGCGCCCGGCCGCCTGCCGGGCTCATGCCCGTTCCCCGGGCTGCCCGCCTCTGCGCCGTCACGGAGGCGGAGGACACGCCGAGCCGTGTGGACCCAGGCCTGTGGCGGAGTGACCGCCCGCCAGCGGCAGCAGCAGGGAGGCTCCCTGTGTGGGGAGCGCTGCACACAGTCCAGGGGTGGCCTTGCTGTGGCCTGGCCTCTGGACATGCTCCCTTGCCTGCCCTGCCAGTGACCACCCACTGGGCCACCCACTCGCCCTTTTCTCCCGCCCCCGCCCGGCACGAAGCGCCTTTGTGCTCCCTCCTCCCTCCTCCCAGCTCTCGGAAGCACCGGGGGCCCAGCGTAGAGAAAGCAGTGCCTCCGGGTGGGGCTCCCAGCTCCCCAGTATCTGCCTGTCATGGGTAGACGCCTCTCCAAGCCCGTCTCCTTCTCTCCCGCCCCCCGGATCCTATCAGACGCTCAGGACTCCCAAGGGTATGCTTTAAGGTAGGGGTGTCTAACTCAATCAGAGAAGGGGCCAAAATCTAAAATCCAGCCTAAATCGCGGGCCGAATGGTTTACTGAACAGTCATAAACTGTCATTGTGATGGAAACGCAGCGGAGTGCAGTGATGACAGCGCGGTGCAGGCCACATTGCAAGGCCTGGCGGGACGGATTTGGCCCGCGGGCCTTGTGTTTGACACGTGTGCTTTAAGGTGACCAGACGTCCCGCTTTGGGCAGGAGAGTCCCGATTTTTAACAATTTGTCCCGCGTCCCACGGCGTTTTAAAAAAAATCCCAATTTTGGGGGAGAAAATGTTGTTAAAAATCGGGACTGTCCCGCCAAAAGCGGGACTTCTGGTCACCTTAGTGTACTTTCCCGTCCCAATGGCCGGCTCATCCCTGGAGTGTTTGTCCTGTCGGGACCCTTGACCCCCCCTTCAGGATCTCTCATCCTCCCGCCTTCACCTCCACACGTGCTGCGTGGTCCCCTCACAGTCACCCTGCACGGTCCTTTGCCTCGGACAACTGGCCAATAATCCTCCCAGCAAGTCCTCCCAGCTGGTGCTCCAGAACACAAATCCACCCGCTGAGCTCGGCTCCCTTCACCCGATTGCCGAGCGACCTTCTTCTGCCTGACGGCAACCAGGGCCCCCGGCCAGCTCTGCGTCACCCCTGCAGCCCACGGCCTCTCCCACAAAAGCCAGAGGCCGCTGACCATACGTCAGACCGTCCCCGAGTCCCACACCCGCCCGCCAGCTCCGCACCGAAGTAAGTCGCCGTCCTTACCGCGGCTCACAAGGCCCTTCCGACCTGGCCCTGCTTCTCCCTCACCCCTGCCCGTCCCCGCTCCCCACCCCCTCCCTGCTCCTGCCCTCACCTATGCCAGCCCCTGCCCACTGCGGGCTCCCACAACCACCCTCCCCGGCTGTGCTTCCTCCCACCCCTGTCAGTCTGCTCCACCCAGTGCTTCCCCCACCTAAGAGTCCTCCTCCATGGCTGGCCCAAGACATGTGTGTAGGCTTGATGAATGAATGAATGAATGAGTTAATGAATGGTGAGCTCCACATTCAACATGCAGCGTGAAGAAAGGAATCTAGCATTTCATTTCACATAACTTCAGAGCCCCCACCTCACTGAGTGTAGGGGGCAGGGGAGTGGGAAAACGTGAATCTGCAAGTTGATGGTGTTTGGGTCTCTGCTGGCTTAGCGCATCCCTCTCAGATAGGGTCTCAGGCCCTGAGCCGTCTCCCAGGTGTGCTCCCGGGCAGGTGCTCCCGGGCAGGTGCTCCCGGGCAGGTGCTCCCGGCAGGTGTCTGGCCATCGGGGGAGCAGGGCTCAGGCCGCACGGAGTCACCAGGGGCCTGGCAGGTCTCGGCAGCTTCCCAGCTCCAGTTGCCGGTGCCCTGGCGTGGCAGTGTGTCTCTCGGGACCACAGGCTCTGCCCAGCCTCTTGTTCTCTCAGCACCGGCCACGGGGACCGTGGAATCTGCACCCACCGCAGGCGGGAAAGGGCGGCCCGAGGAGACGTGCAGGCTCCGAGGGCAGCCCCTGCCCCTGCCCAGGTGGCGAGGGCTGCAGGCCCCGCTCCTGGAGGGGTGTGTGCGCCACGTGTTCGGGGGCTCATCTGGGCACTTCTGCTGCGTCCTGCCCTGGGAGGGAAGGTGAACACCCACCTGCCTCCGCCCTGCCCTATGCGTGCCCCTTTTTCTTTTACC